TGGCCCATCACACACTTAAGGCCCAAAAGTATCACCAAGCCTAAATCTTTATTTTGCATTTTCTTTCCTATTTTCTTTTTTTTTTCTTTATCCCTTTTTCTTTTCCTCTTCTTATTCTTCGCACTTTCACCGCATTTTCTCATTTTCTCCTGCTCCTCCTCGCCAACTGCAGATCCCAACAAAATCTTACAACAATAAATTTCTCAAATTCCTTTCAATTCCGAGTCTGAGGCGGACCAATTTGACGGGCTACAAGCGGCTGATTAGAGATTCACACGGCGATGACGATGCATCGAGTCGGCGGCAGAGATGGCGGTTTTGGGCCGATGGCTCAATTCGCGGTGTTTCAGCAAAGGCGGGTCACGCGCACGGTTGAGGGCTCTGGATTGTCGCCGGCGATGGGGGCTGTTCGCTCGTGAACATACGGCGGTCAATCACCGTCTTCTCGACCTAAACTTCTATTTGTCGCTGATTTACAGTTGTTCGCGGTTGTGGTACGTGGGCCAGAATTTCAATTCACGGGTTCGGCGAAAATGGAGGCTCGTGAAATTGGACTAAGGTCCGGTGGTTTGGTGTTCGAGGAGCTCGCGCGGCGGCGTTGAGACGGTGATGGTGGGGTGTTTCTCGGCGGTGCTGCAGTGGTTGGGGTTCGACGACAACGGGTCGGTGGTGTTGCAGGGAAAAATTGTCACTGCACAGCAGCGAGCCGGTCGTGTGAAACGAAAGGCGGGGGTGACGGGAGGAGCAACAAAGGGCTGCCGCGATTGATTCCGGCGACTAACGGCCTGCTCGACTGCGGCGAGTGAGCAAGTCTGCTGCTATGGGACGTGCGATGCTTATTGCTTGTGATGGAGGAAAAGGCGGCCGGCCACGATTGACTTCCCGGCCACGTTCTCTTTCCGGCGGGACGACCGACGACAAGGCATGATGGAGGCGATCCGATGCTGGGGTATAATGGTGATTTTATGAAGGGCATTACTATTTACCGCCCCCCTTATTACTAGTCACCGCCCCCCTTGGACGATTTTGCCCTTCTCATTTGCACCATGTCAAGCAGCTCAGAGGTAATTTTTTTTTCTGTCCGAACGGGAAAACCTCACGGGACCGGTCGTGTCCAGCCGAAAAAACCGGACGGTCCGTAGGGCGTACGGCCGGTTCGGCCGGACGTGACTGTTCCCGCACGGCTTTTTGGGCCGTACGAACCGGTCTTTGTACTAACAGACCGGCCGTACGGCCGGCTTGATGTCCGGTCGCGACGACCGCACGGAACCCGGTCTGTGCGGTCCGACCGGCCGGACATATATATATATTTTTTTTAATAAATAAAATTATTAAAAATTATTTTGTTATAGATTTTAAATAATTTTTGTTATAAATTGAACGTAACATAGTATTATCGTGTTAGAACTAGAAATTATTATATTATAGATTTGATATTATTATGTATAAATTGAACGTTAAATATTATTGTGTTAGCTGTTAGAAATAAATTTGTTATATATATTAAACTTGATCATCTTATAAATTTGACGTTATATGTTATTGTGTTAGGAATTAGAAATTATTATTTTATAGACTTGAAATTAATATGTTATAAAGTGGACGTTAGATATTATCGTGTTAGGAGTTAGAAATTAATTATACTTGATTATCTATAAGTTGAACGTTAGATATTATCGTGTCAGGAGTTACAAATTAATTATACTTAATTATCTATAAAGTTGATGTTAATTAAAAATTAATATGTTGCATGTTTCAATAAATTATTTATATTATAAGTATGCTTTAAAATTATTAAATATGTAATACATTGCAGGAATCTTTAGAAGATTTTGGAGGAGATGGTGTTGATTACCGTTCCACTTTCAATACAACTACGCTGTTTATTAGTGATGTGGAGGCTATTAAGGATGCAAAAAGTACGGCAATTTTGAATGGTTTCTTTTTTACTATTTCGAAACACAAAAAACCCGGAAGGCTGAAGATCTTGAAGTGCGATCGAGGCGAACGTTATAGAGGCAAAAACGTTGATATGAATAAAGCTGTTTCGAGACGTTCAAAAACGAAAGCGTGCCAGTGCCCTTTTGAGATACAAGTAAAGCGTGTTGTCAGATCGACATACTGGATGATCCACACGAGTCAAGACGAAACGAAGGGATACCATAATCATTCATTTGCCGTGTATCCTGAGGGCCATCGACAGTCGAGCGGCATAAGCGTGTCATCCAAAAAAAAAAATATTCGTGAAATGACTGCTGCGCATGTGACACCAACAAATATTTTGGTCGCCGTCCATGAAAAAAATCCACACGACCATGCTAATCGGCGACATGTATATAACTATAGAGACTGGTTGCGTAAGGAAAGTTTTGAGGGTAGGGACG